ATATATAGGGTGGTTCAAATACTAACCCATTTTTTTACTAACTATGCTAACCAACATCAACCAATCATGTTTCATTTTTTAGTTTGGTTCAAATGTAACTCACATATTAATGATAAGGGTATTTAGGTCATTAGTCATTCTTATCTAACTCCCAAATATTTTAATTGAGAGTTACAAATCTTAAAATATCACTAATTGATCTTCATTTAATAATGACATCAAGTTTAGTATTTGTTCATCTTAATGATTTTTACATATGTTCATCATAAAATGGTTTTGATATTATAAATTTGAAAAAAAGTTTCTTTTGTAAAGATTCCGTTATAGTTCGAGTAATATGGATAATCATAAAGTAAAACAGAGCGACGACAATAAGAACGAAAAAACTAAAAGCGTCTACGAATACATTCGGAATTCGAATTCCGAAAGTGAAGAAAATGATCAAACCGTTCATATTGGTATGTGCTCAATATTATTCTTTTCTTCCGTTTAAATGAACAACTGTAACCTTCGAGAATTATCTACTATTCTTGCTGCAATGACTGTTGTTGACATGTTGAACATCGTCGTTATATTTTGGTGTTTGATATGTTCGAAAATTCATTTGTTTTTCTGCTGCACACACGAACAAATCAAGGATGGTGGGATTTAACTCCAAGATTCAAGGACACAAGTATAAACAATATAAGTTATGCTTTCACTCTGTTTTTATGTCCTAAAGAACCAAACCTGTAATCATTTTATCGGGAAGTGTTGCGTGTGTGTCACCTAACCGACCATGTTGTGATTGGGTCTGGGAGATATATCACTTGTATGAACAACTATTGTTCATTATACAGACTAAAATCAACATGAACAGCCACTCATATGAATATATAGCTACTGCAGACAGTGAAACAAAACGAAGATATATGTATGAACAAAATTGAATTAATGTGCTATCGGTCTTGTTCAAACACACCGAATTACATAGCCGTAGACGGTGGGATTTAACTCCAAAATTGAAGGACACAAGTATAAACAATATAAGTTCTTCTTTAACTCTGTTTTTATGTCCTAAGGAACCAGACCTGTAATCATTTTATCGGGAAGTGTTGCGTGTGTGCCACTTAACCGACCACGTTGTGATCGAGTCTGGGAGATATATCACTTGTATGAACATATATTGTTCATTATATAGATCAAAGACAACATGAACATCTACTGTTCATTACATAGTCTCAAAATCAACATGGAAAGCTACTCATATGAACACATAGCTACTGTCCATTATGTTCACTATATACCGGTAATGAACAACTCTAAATAGTGGTTACTAGTTTTATGTAAAACTGATTTATGTCGAGGATTTTCGACTTGAAACATTTCAACTCACTCTTCTTTGAAGGTCCCATGGATTGATGTTAGTTTTTCCTGCCTGCTCTAAATAGTGCCAAAAAGATGACAGACCAACAAAGCAAAACGTTTCATAAACCAAGCAAAACGAACATATGATTTTTCAACAAAGCAAAACGTTTTATGAACACTTGATTTTTCAACTCGTTGAACATCTCAAATGAACATATTGTATCTGAATTGTCAATGATAATAACAAATAATGTTAACATACATAGTTGCTCATGTGACTATAAACAACACACTGGTAATCACATGATTTTTATCCAAAAATATGAATAACATGTACTATTCAATTGAGGTAATAAAAAATTATAACAAAAAAAAAAACTAAAAAACATAAACACACATGTGTTCATTGAGAACATTTTATCTCTAAATAACCTTATCAAAACATGGCGTTGTATACGTATTCATACACAGTCCCCATATGGAACAGGTATGAAATAACAATAGCATTTAGAGACTAAAATAGAATGAAGTGTTTCTCATAAAACATATAGCCAATAATAGCATAAAACTCCAATATGTAAAGCTTTTATATTTATTTACCTTTTTGAGGTTCATT